CTTCCCTTCCCTTCCCTTCCCTTCCCTCCCCTCCCCTCCCTCCCCTCCCCTCCCCTCCCCTTCATCAGGTTTCTGAAGTATATGTCTCTGACCACTCTGTCAACTTCAAGATAAAAGCATATTTCCTCTCAGTTTCTTGTCCTTTCTATCTGCTGGAAAGCTTTGCCTCACCTGGTTGAGCCATGTATCAATATCAAACCCTTTTGTAGTTAAATGATCTTGTCAAGCAGAACTTCTTTAGTTGTTTCATGGGAAGACTATCACTGTCTGGAGTCCTTGTGCAACTGGCTCTTCTCTTGAAACACTAGATGAAAGCTTAATTAGACTAGAGATCTCTTGCATTTTTATACACCATTTTGTGGAGTCCTTTAGCACTATACATTAATATGCGACTGTAATGTTTAAATGATACCACTATATATATTATTCTATAGGGTTTCCAAGATAGGGAACTTTGTGATTAGCTCATGGTCCAATTATAGGTATCCTAATCTACGAAATAAAATTTTTAGTATCTTGGTTGGGCTGAAGGTTGGAAGCCCAAGAAAATGTTTTATTCATATGAACTAGGGGTGTAAAACTGAATTCACCCAGAATTGGAACCCTGCCAAGGGCCACTCTGACAGACCAGAAGGCATCATTGTCCTAGTCTCTGAAGCTTCTCCTTTCCTACTTACATCAGAAAGTGCTATGCATTTTTCCAGTGAGAATATGTCGCTATATCTGGACCACCTTTTGTCAAGGAACGCTGCTCTAACCTAAATCAAATTAACAAGAACAGCTTGAACGCCTGTATCAGATAAAGCATTTTCTATGTAAGTACCCTTTGTTTGTGTATTAAGATTCTTTTGGAAATGCAAATATTTTAGTGTGGCAGCTCTACTCTAACAAATACAGCAAGATCTAAATTAAATATAGTATTAAGCCTTCTGAAAAGTATGTTTCCTTTCTCTTTTTTACATTTATAAAGGGGACCGTTTATAGCATATGTGCTTTAAAAGCCAAACTGGAATAGACTATTGTAGAGTAAATGAATTCAGCATAAAGCAGGCAGAATCTCTTTAGCGGTATATAATAATGGAGAGAGGACAGAGCACAGCACTTGGTTGTGTTCCTTGTTCTAAGATGAGTACACTATTAATAAATAAAAGAGTTCCTATTTTCATCTGTGAAATGCTGGCTGGCATGGTTTCAAGTGTCAGGAAAGAAAACCTAGTTTATATGCAGATGAACAGTAGGACAAATGGTTTCCATGGAAGTAAGAGATGTAAATTCAGGGCTCGATATTAAATATGGCTGAAGTTGGAGTGATGAAGGATTTGGTTCAGGTTGCATTTAAATAAATGAATGTAATAATTTTAGAATAATATGCAGATCAGAACTTCTTATTCTATAGTTTGTGCCCTCTCCAAATCTTGCAGTATAGATCTGTTTAAAATTGCATTAAAATGTATAAATTAAGAAAATCTGTGAACAAATGTGCACAAATTAGGAAAAAGTGTATATATACAAAACAGGATAGATTAGGCAAGTTTGAGTCCAAAGTGCATGGATTAAAGAAAAATATATATGAAAATAAACATGAATGTATGGGTAGGTTTAAAAATATGCAGACTGGTGTGAAAATTGGTGAGAATGCAACTATGACTTCATATACATGAAACTGGCATGGACCAGAAACAGGTTGATTGATCCATCTCTAGAAAGAGCATCAAGGATGGTAATAATGAAATATCATTCTAGCCACACAATATAGAAGATTCTACATGAGAAATTTTAATCATGTCTTAACATCCATTTGATTAACCAAAAAAAAAAAAAAAAATCATAGACTGTAATTTGACAAGTTTTTTCTTAATTATTTACAGTTCAAAAGATGGCCACTGAACTCTGTTTTCAGAACAACTGGTTATGTCAAATCAAAGTACGTATATATGATTTCACAGTGCTACAGTTCTATACAAAGACTGTAATACAAATACGAAAATATAAGTGCTTTTACACATACACTTTTTAATACTGTTTCTATGTTATTGGCACCAGCTTTATCTTACTGTATATAAATAGTGTGCATGGGGAAACCGGTGAGCATATAGTTAACAGAAGTAAGAAACAATTTTAATTCAATAGACGTATTTTCTGTTAACACATTCGATGTGCGAATATAGTAATCCTTGGAAGCTTTGATAAGTGTATAATTAATAAGAGTGATTTAAAACAGCTTTGAGACTGACCCTCTTTACATTTTGTCCACATGGTGAAGTGTTACAATAGCAGTGGGAAATGTTCTCCATACAGCGTCAAATCCTCCACGCCACAAATACACGTATGCACATTCCATCTCCCAAGTGTTGGGTTGATGTGGGGAGAAAATGCCAACCTACGTGACGGCTTACCCATGGATCACCAAACAAGTGAGATGGTTAAGATCTGAAATACACCCCAGGTACTGCTCCTCTTTGGGGGTAAAAGGTCTCTAAATGCAAGGACTGGTTAAAAAACAAAACAAAACCCTCTTATCTGAGACCTGGAAAAGTCACTGCGGGTTGCAGAGGCAGCACTGGCATGATTTGAGAGGTTGACATGCTAAGCAATGATTAAGAGAAAGCAAGATTAAAGTAACATCAAATATACATTTTAACCCATTGAGCCCATTGGTGTCATTTTAAACATTTTTCCTCTGTTGTCTTGTGCAAATTTAAAAGCACAGAAATGTCCAAACCAGAACCAGGAGCCAGGAAAGGAATGTACACTGAATTAAGTTCAATGAATTCAACTAAGCAGAGAAAAGCACAGAGAGTGAGCATATTTGTAAACACTGAACGAGGAACCAGTAAGCAGTAATTTTTACAGCACTGGGATAACACTGATAATACATCCTATGGCAGTCATCTATCCGAGGTTGGCCTCTGCTTGCACCAAGAAAAAGTAGTGAGCGAGGTATCTTTTCACTTGCAAAAACTCCACCATTGCTCCACCACATTTTGGTTCTAAAATGTGTTTTATATCCTACACTGCACAATATTCCCTTTATTCATTATGAGTGAGGTTTATGGGAAAGTTTATCTCTACGTACAATATTGTTGGGTTATTTACTGGGTTTAGGGAATTGCTGAAGAAAAGGGAACAAAAATCCCCTTTTGTTTATTTTGAGCTCTGGTTTGCAATATATAGAAGATTATCTTGCATAGGTTAAGAACAGTCCATTTCAGATGTGATGTCAAGCTGAGCAGGGATCTGCACAAGCCAGCTTGGGAATTCTAGGTATTATCATCTCAAGACATCTGGACAGTAGCAGAGTGCGGATTATAGTAGGCCAAGTCCAGGGTCTTTCATGGATGCAGTACATGATGAGAATGGGAGCTCACGGCTTTTATATGAGTATAGCAAAGAAGCATGCTGGAGAAATGAATCTTCCTTTTCCCACATCAGTCTAGGCATGCCCAGCATGGATTGGAACACTGTGTGAACATGACTCCGTTATGTTTTATTGGGCATTCCGCCATCAATTCATTTGCTTATTTGTGAAGTTTGTGCTAGAATATTTTCTATAATGAGCTTCATGTCCCATTGGAAAGAAATTCAAATAAATCAGTTCTTCCAAGACCTGATTTGCTCAGCATGAATAAAGTTTGCCTATAGCACATCTAACAGATTTTCTGTATTTAGGAAACAAGGCATTCTTAAATTGTCCCATGTTGGGGATAAGACGATGTTTTTAAATTGTGAAACAATTTTGTTTTGTGGCTCTAACAGTTGCACACCATCAAAATTCACTGCAGGCAGTCCTTATTTCCTCCGGAGTGCAACAGAAGAACAAACTCATCCTAATTAAAATGTACTCCAACACAGTTAGATGTAGCAGTCCTGGCATCTCTTGAATAAGGCACTCCTAGAGATGTAGCAATAGGAAAGTTCATGCTTTTCAATTCCTGGCATCTCCAGGTAGTGAAGCCTTTGAGAATCAGTTTATAAACGTAGACAGTACTAAACCAAATGAACTAGCAGAGCTTTCTGTGTTTCTAATGCCATTCATTCTCTACTAATACGTTTCTGGCTCAGAAACTGGATGCATTTGAAAGCCAGTTAAATTCACAGTTCTCATGTTTCTCTACAGCAGGACAATAAAAGCTCTTTTTAAAACAATTGCCCAGAGAGACAGTGTTTTACAATATAGAGGCAGCAGGCCCATGAAGATGATCACATCTCATTATAGGATGCTGCCTGGGGTGTGAGGAAAGAGCCCTGGGTTCCCTAGGGCTCCACCAGTGGCTTCAGGAAGAAAAATAAATACGTTGCCAGTGTGATGATGAAACATAAATCCATTGTTAGCCTTGGAGTAGAGGGCAGGTGATGAAACGCACGTTATAATATTGCAATAAAAACCCCATCCCTTGTGTACTTGCAGGAGATGTTGCAACACAATTATGAAATGTGATGTCATGATACACATTTCATCATTTTGGCATCATCACATTTAGGAATGGGCACCTACGATTGTTCATCACCCACATTAAATGAATATTCACAAGAGCTAGTTATCTGCTGAAGTACATTGTGATTAACACTGTTATCCAATCGTGAATGGCCTAAAAGATACTGTAGTCAATAATTATTCATTTTGGGACTTGAGAACATTGAAGGCTGAGATACAAGTTCAAATTCCCCAACCAGCTTGATAGCAGTTGTAACCCCACACATCTGGAAGGCACCAGGGTGAGAAAGACTGTTCAAACTCAATCATAAAGAAGAGTCATTTACATGAACAGAAACTGAAATAAGTCAAGAACTTGGCAAGTGGAATCTGTGCCAGAGAACCAATAAAGAGGATTGTGAGAGCTTTGATTAGAAAATCACTTTGACATGGCAGAGTTGCTAAGAATTCCCTTTCCCATCAAGTTCCTATTTCTATTCTCATGATGATTTGAAGTAGGATCAGAAAGAAATAAACTTGTATAATTTGTGACTTTTCATAAATGTATTTTATGAACCAAAAAAAAAAAAAAAAGGAGCCAAACTAGATGTTAAATTTGGAAAAAGTGGGTTGTGTGTATGATTCATATTTCTGATATAACACCTATGCTATGCTATCAGAATTCAACCTTAACTTCAAGCATATTGGCATTCTATCAGACCTGCTTTGATTTTCTCTGAGGGATACAGTAATTTTTATTTTTACCTTCCTTGAAATCTCTATGTAGATGAACTTGCTAAATGAAAATAGAACTATTTTATATCAGAAATAGTCTATGAAATATTTTCATCTAGTTTACTAAAATATTAAAAGTAAACACATACTCCAAAATTCAGCTAAAGGATAATTTGCAATAACAGCCTAAACTGCAATTTGATGTACATTCCTTTATATGAGTTTGCTCCTGAATAAAGATGCACTGGCTTAGGTTGTGTGACTTCCTTGGATATTTCAAACTATTATTCCAAAGCAATGATTTAGTCCAAAAAAATATTAATGAGTTCTGAGAATTAATTTGTCTTCAGATACTGTTCTCATATTTTAAGCTCTGCTTTTTTCTCCTAACACCATGGCAGAAATACTACTTTTAATTTTAAAAAAAGAAACAGAATGTCTCAAAAGTCAAACAGAAAGCTATACTGTACATTGTAATGGCAGTATTATTTTTTTTTTTTACTATATCTTGGAAACCTTTCAGTTACAGTTCGTTCCTATATATGTCTGCTCAGAAGTAGATCCCAATGAATTCAGCTAGGCTTATTCTAGATGAGAAGCTATAGGACTGCATCTTAGTTTGCTAATCAGTAGTGGTACCAACCCAACACAAAGTTAATTGCACATAAAAACATTAATTTCAATGGGTTGAAGCATACACTGATAAATATAGAGAGCAAGATTTTTTGAATTCAGTAGGATGAATATCTGCAGAGATATGTATCGGACTGTATTCTAGATTTTGTTATTGGCTGTGACCAGTGGAGATGGCTACAACTGTAGTTTTATAAATAGAACCCAGAATAACTGCTAAGAGTCAAACTTTGAGTGACCTTAACTGTGTTTTTGCATATAATATACTTCTTTAAAAATAATAGGCACAGGGAAAATTGCACCATGTGGAAAAGGAATTCATTCTTTCCAAGGGGTGCTCTTTCAGTAAAAAGAGCATCTTCAAAGACCCTCTTATTTTCATAAGTTCCTTAGCAATGTAAAACTTAATTTCCTACTTGTTATATTTGCAGTTATGATGCCCCCAAAACAGGAGCTGTTTTCATTTTTTAATTGATACAAATGCCCAGGCACAGTGCGTATGCACATAGACTATACTAAGAAGAGAAAAATGGTGCTAGGAAGAGAGAATTGAAGGAAACAATTAGAGTAGAGTCTCTGCAAGTGTGTTTGTGTACCCCCACCCCCACCACAGAGGGTATCTTGCCTAAGATCTTCTTAACACTGGCAGCAATACTGTCAATGCATTCACACATTTTCTACCATATGCTCCTAGGAGTGTGACAATCACACTACTCAGATTTTGTAGCTGTACAAAATGTTTTGCGACAAGAACATCAGAAATGCAATAGCTTCATACCTTCAAAGGTCTTTACACTACTAAGAGTACTGTTGAAAGTAGTACTGTTGAAAATTGCCATCAAGGATCATATATATGAAAAAGTTTTATTTCCTTTCTAGTTATGACGATTTCTTCCCCACGTTAAAGGCTTTTTAAAAATACATCTGGGTCTACCACGATTGACCATTATTTAAATTGCTAAGCTAAAAGCAAAGAATTCTTGCCATATCAAATTATGCCTTATTATTAATTGAGAATAATTAAAGGTGATTAACAGTTAAGCTGGAATAGCTCCTACTCCTGTCACAGCTTGATAAGTGAAAAAGAGTTATTTAAATAAAGCTGGAGGTATGTATGTATGTATGTATGTATGTATGTATGTATGTATGTATTTTAAAAGGCTCCATAACCGTCACTACGAGTAGCTACTGCAAATGCTGGATAAGCTTCATAGGCTGTGTAGGTTGCCAAATCTTGTCCTAGAGTCACTGCTTGTTTAAGCTGAGTAGCTGCTACAGTGGCAGCTGCATTAGCAATGTATCCTGGAGAAAAATGCAAAAAGAAAACTTTTTTTTACCAGAGCTGCAGAGATCGACACAATCCTTTTTGCATAATTGTAGTATACAACAATAACAACACCAAAACATAGTTTTCTAAACATGCTTTTAAAACTGGATGCATGGATTTGGCCATGCTTGGCTAATCGGTAAGGAGACGGATCGTTTGGACGACCAGAGTGGGATGCAAAACCTCAGACAATCACTAGATGGCAGCAAAGATCTCTTTCCTGCCATCTGCATTTTTGCACCCGAGTTTCTCAGCCCTACTTACATGCGAGTTGAAAGTGATGCTTCATCTACAGTGATGTTGTGCCTTTTCTTCAACAAGTCCCAGCACTTCTAGTCAGCAATCCCAGTATAATCCAATGCTGTATACATACAGGGGCTTACTGAGTGCCTCGTGCAGTGACTGTTTGAAGTTATGAAGGTGAAAACAAACCAACTTTGCAACCAACCCTTGCATTTATGAATGTTGCAGCATCCCACGGTCATATGATCACCATTAGCACACTTTGTAGATGGCTTGTGACAAGCAGAGTTAATAGAGAAGGTGGAAGTAAAATTGTAAGTTGCGGTCACGTAATTTTTCCCTTAGCAACTGCGGCGCTTAGTGACCAAGGTGCCAGTCCCAATTATGGTCGCTAAGTGAGGATTACCTGTATGTATGAATACACAGACTGATACCTTATGGCTATCCTTTGTGGTATGTTCTATAGGCTGTCATACTACTGGAGAGTGAACAAGATATGAGAGAGGAAATGAGATATTAAGAAATCTGGCTGTGTCCTTGCTCTGTGCTATTTAGTAAGAAGGCAAGCTTGGCCTTAATCTTTGACAAATCCAACTCTGGAATTCCTTCTCCAGAGAGTCTCTACCTCCATAAAGCTTTCTCTAAGATGCCAAAGACTTTTTCATTTGATCCCCTGCCTTCTAATCATAGCATAGCTGTCTAGGAAAGTGTGTGTGTATGTGTATCTTTGTGCACACAAGTGACACCACATGCACTGTGATGTCACATCATAAACCTCATTATTTGAGTAGTAGTATCTGACCTCAGGACACAAGTACAGAAGCCTGAGGTTTGGGTCATGATTTGTCATCCATTGTAGTTAGTAGCAGACCCTTAAAATTCAGAGAAAATTTACACAGTGATCTTCATATAACTTTTGTTATCACCTAGCTTTATTGTTTCCTTTAAATACCTATACCTAGTTAGCCAGCTAGCTTTACTTTAGTATACAGGTGGTCCTTGACTTATGACCATTCGCTGAACGGCCATCCGAAGTTACAATGGTGCTGAAAAAAGTGACTTATGACCAGTCTTTGCACTTACGACTGTCACAGCATCCCCGTGGTCACATGAGCAAAATTTGGGCTTGGCAATTGGCATGTATTTATGACAGTTGCAGCTTCCCAGAGTCATGTGATCATCATTTGCAACCTTCCCAGGGAGCTTCCAACAAGCAAAGTCAATGAGGGAAGCCAGATTTGCTTAATGACTGGCAAAAAAGGTTGTAAAATTGGGTGGAACTCACTTAACAACCACATTGCTTAGCAACAGAAGTTCCAGTCCCAATTGTGGTCGTAAGTTGAGGACTACCTCTAATACCAATCCTGTGAGTGCTACTTTGACATAAGCTCCAGTGAAGAAATTTGGATTCGGTCTCAGATTAGGATTATGGTCTCAATCTATCTTTTTTTCTATTTTAATATCATTTTTACCACTTCTTATGTAGAAAAAGTGACAATTAAAATCTCAAGACATAGAATAAAGCACAATTCAGCTATTTATTCATTTTTTAAAATATATATTTTTAAAAATATCCTTCCCACATGATGCCTTTCCCTACCGCAGATGACTTTATTTTGTCTTGCCTATCTAGATTCTCTCCTATTGAAGTGCTGTTGGAGAGAGGGATATAGTTTAGAATGATGCATTTTATATCAGCTTTGATGAACCTAACAGACACCATTTTTATGGGACTATTAGATTCACCTGAATTGAAAAGGGTAAAATGTTTCAGAGCTTTCCAAGTAAATGAACAATGACAGTGGAAGGTCATTGTAATTAAGCAGTAAATGGTGCTGAGTTCAATAAAACATCAGTGTGTCTTACATAATGCGGAAGCTTGAACAAGCCTAGACAAATTGATTTTTCTTTGTGGCAGGAAACTGGATGGATTTTAAATTTTTTTAAAAGCCCTGATGCTTCTGAATGATTCCTTATTAATCAAAAGGACTGACTGGCATGTATACTGTACTTCCAGTAATGTAAAAGAAAAGTAACTTAACATGAAAGATATATAAATAAAATACAGAAAGTCTTGTTTCTCATTAAGTGTATGTGTGTGTTAAATTGTATAAATAAATATAAAGTAAATAAGTATAATTAATTATAATAATTGGCTCCGTATATTACTTCATATTCTTAAACATACTCAGCATAACTGCAAGGTAATTTTAATCATACAGTAATTTTCTGTGGATACTTCTTCCCCATGAAATCATTCCAGTGTTTTAGATGGTAATATGAAGGACCAGACCTCAACATCAGGAGCCTCTGGAACTTTTTTACCTCCCCTCCATACCCCTGCTCAACATTATTCTGAGGATTAGTCCTATACAGGTAGTCCTCAACTTATGACCATTCGTTCAGCAACTGTTTGAAGTTATGACAGTGCTGAAAAAATGGATTTACAACTAGTCCCTGGAGTTATGGCTGTTGCAGTGTCCCCGCAGTCACATGATCTAAATTTGGGTGGTTGGCAGCCTGCCTGCACTTATGACCACAGGAGCACTTCAACTCCCCCCACTGACCTATCTTGCCCCCATCTCTGCCCTTTTGGCTGCCCTGCACCCTGTCTTACAGGGCAGCAAGTAGCCCCAGAACCACATGGCTCTGGGGCTGCTTGCCACGCTGCAGCTCAGGGGCTTCTGAGGCAGCACAACTTTCCAAAGGCTTTCTGATTGTGAGAAATTGCTTCTGGCCTTCCCCATTGGTTGCATCCTTATTTGTGCTATGCTGCTGGGCCAAGCTGGGGAGCCACGTGTAGGAAATGTTCACTGGAGAAGCTGAGTCCAAAAGGAAACAGCAAAGGCAGCGAGGTGCTTCTGCTTTGGTTGTGGCAGCTGGGCGCAAAAGGTGAAAGGTGCGGGGAACTGGGAGAGAAGGCAGCTGGGCAAACAAATGCTTGCTGGCACTTACTGGGGCTTCCTGGGCAATGTGGCTTGCTGGTGCTTGCTGGGGTGGGCTGGGGTGGTTGAGGCTTTGCGCTGCACTGCAGCTCTGGGGCTTCTTGCAACCCCAGAGCTTGGTGCACCAAAAAGCCCCTGACCCACAGCTGGCAAGCAGTCCCAGAGCTGCGTGGTTCTGGGGCTGCTTGCTGCCCTGCAAGGCAGGGTGCAGGGTGGCCAAAAGGGCAGAGATG